ATATAGGCTTTATAACCTCGTCCCCTTGAAAAAAAAATTAAAAATAAAAAAAAACAGGCTGATGTATTCTTGCAATGACCTTGAGGGATAGCCAACTACTGGACATAAAAAGTAATGTTTCCAGATTAATTATACATGTTTGACTCATTAAAGGCATTTTGTACATTGGCTGCTACACCAGAAACACAAACTATCTATAATGCTGTTTACTAGAATTGTTTTGACCAAATACATCACACAACTGCAGCTGGGTAACAGATGCACTATAGCTACAATTAGCATCAAGCTAATCACATCGCAAGCAGATCACAATGTATGAGATTATCACTGTGGAGAATTTATATAAATGCTATTCTGTATAAAGCAATATTAAGTGAACATGTTAGATTAAACCTGTGTCTGACCCCAATGATAAGAAGCCATTGTAATTACAGTCATTTCAGATGCCAAAGGCCTCATCTTGAAAGCAGAAGAAAGAGTGGCTGAAATCAGGGAGAAAAGAGCTGTCGAGTCGAACACCTTTCACCTCTGTGTGACCAGCACTGATCTGCAAAGGCAAATAACGCTACCGAATAGCTTGTTGCTAAAAAAGTGGATGGATTTGAAATATTGCTGCAATAACGTGAAGATTTATATAATTAACAAGTTATCAAATGTGTTTGTCATTATTTCTGTAAAATTATCAGATACAAATCTTCTACCGCTTTGCTGTCATTGTATGCATCATCATATTGCACACAGAAGACTTGCAGTGATTTGTCTACATTTCAAGCCCAGTCTGATTGTTGCTATTTAAAAACCTGTTGCGGCCGATCATCAGTCCATGTGACCTGAATCAAAATCACTTTATCTGTGTCACTTTGTGTAACAGTATTTACTTTCATTTGTAGGCGGTGTTCATTGTGTTCTCTGATATTTTGAAAGTAGCAAAATAATTGAAATATCTTAAATGTATCTCTTTGTTTACTTTCTCATGTATTTAAACATGTTCTTTTCTTCTCTAAAAGGTGAGTAGCACAATGAAAGTGACTACTTTTAGAAACGAGAAGTGCTTCATTCTGGCCTTCCTGAACACAGACAGATGGATTTGATGGGGAAGTCAATGAAAGACAGGCACGTTATTTTACTGTGAATCTGTGCTCTTATGGTAATATTTTGAGGTTTATGAAACTAAAGATGCAAAAAAGGCATAAATATTTCCTCTACTCTGTTTAAACCCACAGAACAGAAACAGAGCAGAAGTCAAACCACAACTATAAGCTCAACTCTATTATTAGGCCTCTTAAAGGAGCACTTCACCCATTTCATAATTAATCTTTATTGAAAGTGGGTCATATATGTAGTCGAAATGTAAAATAATTTTTGAATTTGGTGCCCTCTTGACCGAGAAAAGACAGAAAATAACTTTAGGGCACATTTGTATGCAAGACAACAACTCCCAGAATGCACCACATTGCACAGCTCCGCAAGCCACTCCCACTAATCCAGAACAGCTGGATTACATTATCTCCTCAATAATCATTTCCATTTTTATGCATCATCAGATGAGGTTGCGAAGCGCCCATTTTTTTCAAACCATCTGTCCCGACCTTCAGATTCTGCATGACGTTCGAAGCTTCAAAGATCATCAATCACGTGGTATTGTCGTTTCGATACAAGCATCAGTACAGTGTGTGATACAATAGTTTGTTGAAAACTGCATTGGAGCATCGGAGCCCCGGGATCAACAGTCCCATCACTAGCCTTTCCTACCCCAGAATTCCCTGCGCAGCAGTGACAACGCGAGGCCTTTGAAGTCCAAATCCTTCGAAGGATGCATCACTTTGATTGGGACACAGTCCATCTGTTGTATCCTTCATTTCACGGGAAACGGGAGACACATTTGTAGGCAGGATTTGTAGAAGCCTTCGAATTGAAACGGCCTTCGTCGCACCGCAGTGACACGATCGGCTTCGAATGCGGCCTTTGAAGGACGCAGCCTCTGGATTGGGACACAGCTCGGGTTTTGTCTTATGCTTTGAAGCGTTCTGTCCGATAGCTCTTCCTTGTTTGTTTTTGCACAGACATTATCTGGGTGAGCTAAGTGAATATCAATCATTTTATTTCTTGTTTTACAAGCTTTGTTCCACTAAATTAGGGTATTGTGATTTAATGCAGAAGCAAACATTATGGATGGTTTGTTAGGCCACTGGTCAGATCTCATTTCATCTCAGCAGTTAACCAGGCCTGATTTAGCTTTGCTGGTGGCTTCTATGGCCGTTGTAAACGGGACTGGATCGCGGGGCATTTGATGTTTTCTCTCTTTTTTTGGCTTTTTTTTTTTTGTATATCCGATCCCAGCCTCGTGTTTCGAGCCAACCTCCGTACTCCCGACGCTTTGAAACACGTGAAATTTTCATTTGTATGAAGTTTATGTTTACTGTCGAATTCATTTGATTTGGAGTAGGTTTTCTGGTAAATGTCTTCTATTTTATATATGATGTGATTTTTGTACTTTGTGTTTTTTGGGGGGTTTAGTCATGTAGCCAGCAGCCATATCACCCTGTAGCCCAAGACTGGTTGCCCACTGAAGCTAAGCAGGGCTGAGCCTGGTTAGTACCTGGATGGGAGACCTTCTGAGTAAACCAGGTTGCTGCTGGAAGAGGTGTTAGTGAGGCCAACAGGGGGCGCTCACCCTGTGGTCTTTTGTGGGTCCTATTACAGTAATGGGGACACTATACTGTAAATTGAGCACCGTCCTTCGGATGAGACGTTAAACCGAGGCCCTGACTCTCTGTGGTGACAAAAAATCCCAGGATGTCTTTCGAAAGAGTAGGGGTGTAACCCCGGCATCCTGGCCAAATTTGCCCAGTGGCCTCTGTCCATCATGGCCTCCTAATCATCCCCATATATATATATATATATATATATATACCAATTGGCTTCATCACCCTGTCTCCTCTCCACCAGTAAGCTGGTGTGTGGTGCGCAATATGGCTGCCGTCGCATCATCCAGGTGGAGCTGCACATTGGTGGTGGTTGAGGAGATTCCCCCTTCTATGTAAAGCGCTTTGAGTGCCGAGAAAAGCGCTATATAAATGTAATGAATTATTATTATTATGTAATTATTTTCTTTAATTTGTATTAATCTGCGTGAAGATGTTTTTTGTTTTGTTGGGGTTCATGGAGTGTTTTTTGGCTATTAACATCTTTGAGAGAGAATGAATTGTGTTGTTCATTAAACTTGTTTTTCTGTCAAATGGTTTATTTATTTGTATTAATAAATTACTTGATTGATAAACCTGAGTCTTTTTGTTGAGCAAATTTTTTTGGTCACTTTTGCTTTAAGGAAGAGTCCACACACACACACGATATTCAGATGAACAGCAAGCTCATGTATTTAGTGGTACAAACCCTAGTGTTATCAGTGCAGAAAACACAAAGATAAAGTTGGTTAAATTGGTAAAACTCATATACCACAGCTGATAAAGAGTTGAAATCATATCGCCTCATAAGCAGACACTGTGAAAAAAAGAGGCGTCATTTTGAACTGAGTTATAAATATTTCAATACATCTAAAGATGCTCAAAACTGGTACCATTCCAGATGAATGTATCATGCATGATACATCTACGTTTTGAATACACATACATACAAATATATTAAATAACATTTAAACAGACAATAAAAAGAAACATGGAAAAAAATATTATTTGGATAAATTATGTAAAGTGTAAATGTTTATTTCCAGGCTTGTACTGGAGAAAGTGTTCAAATATCCATATAGGAAGTGGATGTACAGAAGCTGATGAAGATACTGACCCCAAACTCTCAAACTCAGCGTCAGGGCAGAACCCTGTTACTGTACGTTAAAACATGTGGTTACAATGTCCTGGAAACAAAACAAAAAGCAAAGTGACACTCGGACGTGTAAAACCACATGTGATGAGGAACCAACAGCTTCAGCAGTGCTAAAAACCTGAAGAAAACAGTTAAAGAGAGTTAAACAAGCAACTCAAACTCACAATTTATTCTCTGTTTAGGACAGAAAACATTCTAATTTACTTTAAGTTGTTGCTTCTGGCCAGTTTAATTGTTTTTTTGTGCATGTAATAATAACTTGATTTGTTGTGTTTAGGGATTTGTTTTAGGGTTTAACATGTTTGACATTTGTTGAGTTATGATCGAGGGTCTTCTCTCTGCGCTCAGATACAGTAGAGCTTTGGGATGCAGGGTCTTAGTATCGCTTTTTGATGGGCATGAATTTGAATGTCTCGTTTTTTCATTTTAATTAGTAGTGGGTCCAGCTCTGCAGACACTATTTGTAGTTTTCTATTGTACTCAGTATATCTTGGTGGAATTCTGCCTGCGGTGTCTCTACTGTGTTGGACCCATTAGTGAACTCTTGGTTTGTGAGCGGCCCCAGACCGATGGGGTCTGACTATAACTGATCGTCATTGGCTTTCTGAATTGTTGCCATGACAGCAGAATAATGTGCCCTTTATGTTACTGAGCAAATACATTTCTATGTTAATACTGATATGAAAATGAGAATATTTTATTGATGAAATCTGAAGTATCTGTCTGCAGAGATGTTAACATGTTTATTCCAGTAAACTATTAAACTAAAATCTAAACAAATCAAACTTGAAGCAGAATAGTCACACATCATTATTATTAATATTAGTAGCCAAATGCAGAATGAAGTAATGAAAAGTCAGTTTATTCCTATAGCACGGTATATACACAATGGTAATTCAAAGCATTCTGTTTTAAAAATGAACATAAATATAAAGCATTAAGAAATAAAATAAATTAAAGTAAGTTAAAACGTAATGCAACTATACATTAAAACGACTGAGTAGTCTGCTACTGCGTGACGTGTACGGTGTCAGTAGCAGAAAGTGGGTTTGGAGGGAAGATCACTGATTGGCTTGATGATGTGTCCAGACTTCAGCCAATAGGGGACTGGCACACTTTCTGTTAAAAGTCATGATGAAAGCCCTTTGATGTAATCATCATCATGCCTGAACCAGCGAAGTCTGCTCCCAAGAAGGGCTCGAAGAAGGCCGTCACTAAAACCGCCGGCAAGGGCGGAAAGAAGCGCAGAAAGTCCAGGAAGGAGAGCTACGCGATCTACGTGTACAAAGTCCTGAAGCAGGTTCATCCCGACACCGGGATCTCCTCCAAGGCGATGGGAATCATGAACTCTTTCGTCAACGACATCTTCGAGCGCATCGCCGGTGAAGCGTCTCGTCTCGCTCACTACAACAAGCGCTCCACAATCACATCGAGAGAGATCCAGACCGCCGTGCGTCTGCTGCTGCCCGGAGAGCTGGCCAAACACGCCGTGTCTGAGGGCACAAAGGCTGTGACCAAATACACCAGCTCAAAGTAGAGCGAGTCCGCTCAACCCTACACAAAGGCTTTTTTAAGAACTACACATATTGTCTGTGAAAAGAGCAGTTGTATTTCATATTTAATAAAAAATATATATTTTTATATTTTAAAAAAACGTCCGTTCTAATGGCATAATTGACTTTGGTCTTCAGCAAATGTTGTGAATTCACAAGCATTATTTACATTAACATTTATATTAGATTATAACATTGTTTTTTCTTCTGGACAATCCAGCTTCTTGTCTCTGCTGTTTACAGTAACTGAGATGGTTGTTCCTCTTCTCTCAATCTCCCCATAAAATACAGATTGCATCAGTTCCGCCAGGTTATGTCCACTACTGCCTCTGTCCCACACGGTGTTCCCCAGGGTTCTGTTCTTGGGCCTCTTATCTTCATCATCTACATGCCTTTAGGTAACATCATCCGTCATCATGGCTTTAAATTCCATTGCTACGCAGATGACACCCAACTATACACACAACTATACAAATTCCAAATCAGCCTGTATTGATATAAATGCTTGGGTGACCAGTAATTTTCTTAAACACTGATAAAACAGATCTACTTATTGGTTCACCTCAAATTATATCCCGTTTCTGTGTTGACAATGTTAATATTGCTGGAGTTTCGGTTCAACCTTCCACCACTGTCAAAAACCTTGGTATAATCTTTGATTCCTCTCTTCCTCTTTTCCACACATCTCCTCGCTCACTAAGTCTGCCTTCTTTCACCTTCGTAATATCATGCGCTTACGTCCATTTCTGAATATCAGCGATGCTGAAACCCTGGTTCGTGCTTTCATCACTTCACGGCTTGACTACTGCCGTTCTCTTTTCTGGCTTACGCAACTCATCTATAAATAAGATCCAGTATATTCAGAACTCCGCAGCTAGGGTCCTTTACAAAGAAATCTTCCCACATCTATTTCATGTTTATTTGTACTTTATTGTAAAGCGACCTTGAGTTTTCTGAAATGCGCTATATAAAATAAACTTGTTATTATTATTTATTATTATAGTGTGTGTGTGATGAAGAGCACATCATGTTGAGTAACAGGTAAAGATATATTTCACGGTTTACTTTTATAATCATTTTTATTATGCTGCTATTTTAATATTTATTTCCAACTTTTCAACCAAAAAAAAAAATATATATATATATATATATATATATATATATATAAAATAAAAATAATAATAAAATGTATTCTTAGTTCTTTACTCTTCAGCACAATAACAGAAACTCTCTTAAATTGTGAACATGCCATAATTAAAGACTAAAGACTCTCCTGTCCTCATGTTGATGAAGTGCAGAAGTGTTGTGTGTAAACATAGACTAATATGCATTTAATCTCACTTTATTGATCAATGTACTTGCTGCTGCTGACTTTTGATTATTCAATTAAACCATACGCAAAATGACTTTAGAATTATTTTTTTTGTATTGGTGAAGTGATTTAGATTTTTATTGGTAAAGTAAGTGTTAAACTTGTTTCTCCTGCATCTATTCTTCCATTATCCAGAATATCAGCACAGCTGAAGGGTTTGTTTGAGCTGTTGAGCGCCCTCTACATGCGTGAATGTGCATTTCCTTCAGCCTGAGGCTTATTTCATTTTTGGTGTGAAAGGGTCTTTACATTTTCCCAAAAATATAACTTTTTTGGGAAAGTTATATTTTTTCCCAAAAAAATATAACTTTTTTTGGGAGGGTCTCTCCATCGAGGGTCTCTCCATCCCAGTCATCTGAGTTATCCCTCATCTTCTGGAACAATTGGCAGAGATCTGGTAGGTGTTGGAGGATAGTCTGTACCAACCTAGAATTTGAATTCCACCTGACAGATGATGCTTTAGGGATGCGACATTTCACAATATCATCCAGTAAATGTGTGCGCTTCAAAACAAGGCAATGGACATTAGCATATGCTCTGTGTGCATCAGAGACACTTTGCGTGCTTTGAATGATCAGCGAGAGCAGTTTGACAGTTTTTATGATCGCTTTGAAGAGAAAAGTAACAATCTAAAACTGATCAATAAGGAGACGCGCCACCAGACGTCTGTCAGAGATGAGTGGAGAAGATTAGTGTTCATGACAACATCACTGTACAAATGAAAAGCAGATTTGACCATCTGGAGGAGCTGAATTTCCTTGGCTTAGTTGACTGCAAAACATTCACGGAGATGTCAGGTAAATTTGATGATCAAAAATTAGAGAGCCTGTCCACATATGCAAAATTCTTTGATCAGATTAGATTAAAGTCTGATTTGGTGGGCCTATACTGTTCACAAACCGTCCAAGGAATAACTCCTGTGCAGCTGCTTACTTTTTTGACGCATGATCTGCAGGAGACTGTTCCTGAGGCCACAAAACTTTTGAAGCTGGTCTTAACTATACCATCTACTACCGCATCTGTGGAGAGGAGCTTTTCTGCGTAAAAGCGCATAAAAACCTACAGCCGTAACAGAATGGAGCAGAACAGACTTTCCTCCTTGGCTCTTATTTCCATTGAAAAGGAGAAACTCGTGAAATTGAGAAATACACCCAACAAAGAGGACTTTTACAACAAAGTAATTGACATATTTGTCCAGAGGGATAGAGGCATGGACTTTGTCTACAAATACAAGTAAGCACCCCCTTAAAAAGGTAAACTATTCATTTATTTATTATTTTTAAAATCCTTATATTGCCTTGTGTGTGTTGTCTGATGGTGGGCTATAGGCCTGCTGTGCGCTGACACCAAAATGTAAGGGTTAAAATGCTGTTTTGTAGTTCTCTTTTTTTAATCCTGGTGCGCCGTCGCCAGACGCTCATTGCGTGTCGGTGTGTGCGCCCAGGCTTAGTTATGCAACATACGCTTTACACACACCAACAGTCTTATAGTTGATTTCAACTCTTTGATTGAACAAAATGCAAAAAGTTAAATACATTAGATGGTGATAATGGACATCCAACTTGTAGCTTCCAGTGTTTGTGTGGTAAAAAATGTATGCGTTCCCACACCAAGCCTTCTAACTCTATGCCTACATGTAAAACACCGGTTTAAAAACCCTCTGTGCACATACTGCCCCCACCTGGTGACAGCCTGAAATACATCTACATTACTACTGACTCCTACATCCCAGATCACCTGCATGAACATGCCATAGACCTGCTGCAGATGTGAAATGTAAGACGCCTGAGACAGTGCAACAGGGAAACAGAAGGAGAGCTGATCATCCTTGCAGTGCCAACACGTGTCCATATGCACTCCCAGATGTGTTCAAGAACTTGCTAGTGTCTTGGTGGAAGAGTGGAGTAACATCTCACAACAAGAACAGGCAAATCAGCTGCAGTTAAAGCAGCTGCTGAACACACCATACTGATATACTTTTGATATTTATTGATCCTCGCTATGTTCAGGGAATCATATTTCCATTTCCCCGCTTGAAGTTGCCATTTAAAAAAAGGAAGGCGTAGCTTGATGATGCCTTAAATGAGCGTGGAATCATGGGAGTTGTCATCTTCACCTCCACAGCCGATGGAAAGGAATTCAACAGACTTGGGCAGAAATCCTGTTCATGGTTGAGCCAATTTCTTAAAGTTTAATAACGTTACTGTGGTATGAAGCAGAGCGGGCCGAGAGCCGTGGGAGTGGAACGAGTACGCTGGAGCGAATGCTAATGAGATACACCAGCGATGCACACCGGTCTCGAGTTCAGCGGAGCTTTTATTATGCTTATGCCACAGTCGGCCACTTCCGCTCTATTCGTTGTGTATGTATGTGGTGTAACATGGTGCTGTTTTACATGGTTAAAGTGCCGCTGTAGTCAACAACTTTATCCCATAAATCTCATCTTTGATCACCAAAATGACATAAGTTTATTCCTTTAAAATAGCTTGAATATAACTCGACACCCTTGCCTCATATAGTATGCGCGGTTATATGAATATGCAAATGAGCCCCGCCTCCACTCACTCACAGCAGCTAATAAAACACATAATATATTAAAGTGTCTTAGGTGTTTACATGGTTTCTATGAAAGTAAAATGGGAAATCGAGTGTAACGCGGATATTGTCAGGCAACGCAAAGACACAGTCCGAGTTCTTGTTAAAATTGCATTTGGGAGAATGTGAGTATACAAGTAGACAAAATACATTGTTCTAGTGGTTTTTGGACATTTTAATCTAAAAATCGTACATATTGTGCCTTTAAATGAATATAGCACAGCAGTTCCCTGTAAAGGGAACTCGAGCTGCGTCGAGACGCTGTGGGAACGCCCCTGCGTGATTTATAGGTGGGTGACGTCATCGACCAGGAAACTATAAAGCACATCTGAAAACGTCCCGGGTTACGTATGTAACCCTAGTTCCCCGAAGGAACGGACGCTGCGTGTAATCGCAGTGGGAACGCCCTCAGCGTGACGCGTCTGAAGCATGAATGAAATCAGTCAATGGAGAGAATGAGCGTACGGCGAGTGACGTCATCGACCAGGAAGCTATAAATATCCCCTGAGTACACAATACGCCCCGTTTAATCCCACCGGTCACAATTGTGACCGCAGCTTTTTTCTTATTTCTGGAAGCTCTAAAAATGTTGTTATTGACTTTGGGCAAGAAATTCAACTTTTAAATGACAAAATAGATTGTCTTGATTAAAATCAATTAATGTCATGTGACTAGTGTGAAAGGTCACATGACCAGATCAGTTCACTTCCTGCTTGCACATCTAGAAGATGTCTTCCTCAGACTACTACAAAAAGTAGTATATAAAACATCTTAATTTACATATAGAACTATCATATTTTGTACATGTATTCTTTAAAGGGTCTACTACTGATATATTTTGAGAATTATACTCCTGCATATATATTTTGCTCGTAAGACGTGTAAATTTGTTTACGGTCACAATTGTGACCGGTAGTATAACACAGTGCTTCAATAGAAAACACAGGTATTGGCTGGTATTGGCAGGTTTTGGCAATCCTACACTGAACATGCCACACCTGTGAGGGGGATGGATGATCTTGGCAAAAGACAAGTGCTCACTAACACAGATTTAGACAGATTTGTGAAGAATATTTGAGAGAAATAGGCCTTT